AACATAATCAATCTTTAATTTTTCTCTTTTAGCACCTTTTGAATTGACAGCTTTCCAAATTTATTAAATATATATATTTTTTAATATTACTATGAATGTTTAACTTCAAAATTTAATTCTAAGAGCAAAAATTTAAAATTTTGTAAAATATTTACTTAGAAGTTAATAGTGGCAAGCTTTGTCCATATGTGGAGGGAACGCAATAATTGAGTCTTCCGGAATCTGAGTGTAACTCCAGCAAAGACATTTAGTGTAATTGCCAATTCGGTGAGGTATAAGTTGTTCTCCATCAAAAAGTGTTCATAGTCATGCATGCTAAAGAAATTGCAAAGAATTGAAACCTTCCTAGCTCGTCCTATGAACCATCCCATTCGAACCTCTTCTTCTCATTTTCACAAACCCTACCCACACCCCAACTACAACCACCACATCCATTGCTATAGCCAAACAACCACCCAGAATAGAGATATTTTGCTTCTGGGTTACCCAGCCAAGGCTTTATAAAAGGGATCATGGGATAGGAGGGTTTGGCTGATTGATGCTGGCCATAGAGCACATTTTCGAACAGCAGCTTACTCCACGATAGTTTGTTGGTTCGACACTGGAAATTCGGGATTCCACCCTTATGCCTGTTGGGATAAGCCTTTAGGCTAATACAAACTCTCTCGCGCAACCGCTACGAAGCATGTTGATGAATTCCAACCCCTGATTATGGACTGGGCTTTGAGTTTTATGGTATTCACATTGGGCCAATATTTTGGACAATATGGACTTCGATTGCTTTTTATTTTTTTTCTTTGGACTCGTTTTCTTTTTCTTTTGCTTTTGTTTTGACAAAGGGGCACATGGCCCAACCCTGGAAAATACCCCTTGTATACTTGTATTTTTCTTTTCTTCTGTGCATGCTTTTTTACCCCAAACAAAAAATTGGAGTCTTATTCAGGAGCTCCAAACAAAAATAAAAATTAAATGAAATAAGTACTATGCCAATATAAAGTAGCTTGCGGAGCTTCATCTTCAATACAACCAAACAAGACGGTAACAAACTGAAATCACGAGATCGACAGGAACAATGCTCTTATAGTCACATCCTTTCCAACTATGATTTCAAAACTAATTAAACCTAGCATACACTAATAAACACCGGCAAATAATATTGATAAGGAAACAAAAAAAAAAAAAAAATAAAATAACACTAGTATGAGAACTATATCATGATAAGAGACGCAAACTCTCTAATTTTATTTTTTTTTTCTCTTGGTAAATATAAATTTTATCATTTGACTTTTTACAAATTTTTAAAAAATTGTCTTTGTGGTTAAATGTAGATACTTATGAATAGAGAGAGCCCTAACAACCCCCTAGGGGCCTAGCGGTATCTGTCTCTTACCTTCTAAAAGAAGGTCAGGGGTTTAAGTTTAATAAGAGACATGTTGTGTTAGTACCAATTAGAAAAAATAAAAATAAAAATAAAATAAATAAAAATAAAAATAAAAATAAAAATTGATTACTCAAAAGTGATAGTTAAAAAGTCAAGTACAAATTAGTTAGAACCAAAATTTAGAACATCTCTAACTGTTGTGTATATATATATATATATAAATTTGGATTATTTAATTTTAGCTCTAACAATTATTTTATATCTTTTATGTGAAAATATATCTTTAATAATAATCAACCACGTGTCTTGGCAGGACCCATATAATTTTTATAAACCTACTTAATATATGGTTAATTAGTTAATGGAATGGAAAAGAGAAAAGAAATATGTTATTGTGAATGTGTAAAAAAAATGTGTAAAACCAAGGAGAATTAAATTGGGGACCTAAATTCGTGAGGAAGAGAAATTTGTGAGGGAGAGAACTAATAGTGGCAAAACCAAGGAGCACTGATGGCATATGTTATTTAGAAGGTATAATTTTTTTAATTTTTTTGAAATTAGTTAACGTTGTTTAATATAGGTAATTGATATATCTTAATGACACATGTCATTACATAAAAAAGTAAACTTACAATAACTTAGAGGACCCAAATCCTATTTAAAGAGAAGTTAAAGGAGAATATCAACCATGAATCTTGAAAACACACTAAATATCATATCATGATTTGATATGTCATTAAAATGTAATGCTACAAAGAGTCACGAGTAATGCAACTGCCCATTTTTAGTCATGTGACTCATGTGAGATCGATCATGATGTATATTATTTTATTCAATAATAAGACCCCTTATTTATTATTATTTTTTTTAAGTTAATAATATGACCTGTTGTTAGTATACTTCTAAAAGGTTTTCCTTTTTCCAATTTTATTTTTTTATTTTTTGTTTTTTAAGTTTTGACAAATAATTCACTTATCTGCTTATACACAGTATATTACATTGTATATATATAAAACCGCGTCTCTTATATAAAAATAATAATTTTAATTACTTATTGTATTTGATTGATTATTAAAAAATAATTATAATTATGTTTAAAAAAATTATTTTAATAAATTTATTATTCTACACTTTTCTTTTCTTTTCTTTTTTTTTTTTTATAAATTTTGATTTTTTATAAAAATTAGATTAAATTTAATATGAATAAAATTTCATTAAAAATGGTAACTCTTCATTCATTTTTCTTTCAATTTTTTCTCACAAAAAATATCAAAACCAACTCATCAAATTTTGTTTATCCTCAAAAAAAAAAAAAAAAAAAAAAAAATTCCCTTTTCTTTTCCCTCCGAAATTTAATACCAAACAACAAACAAAATATCCTTTATTTTCAATGGAAAGCTTCTACAAGGACGAAGATCACCCCGAGAGCAAGGAAGGTTTGATGTCACCGAGATCCTATAACTTCTATGTGTGTATAACTATACACACACACACAGATATATATATATATATATATATATATATATATATATATATTTAGCTTCACGTGCTGCTGAATTCCTTAGAAATGCCTCTCTTTGGTCATTGATTTCTTTAGATTCCCATTTCAAGTTTAAGATTTAGGGATTTTAGTTATAGGTTTGAGATGGATTACTCATTATTAGTGGTCTCACTTTTGCAATAATTGCCACCATAATAATAAATTATGGTTTTTATTCATTACTCGGTAACTTTTTTAGTTATAGGTTTGCGATGGATTACTCATTACTCGGTAACTTTTTTATTTATTCTGCTTTTGCCTTTTGATTTGGATTCCTTTCATGGGGGAGAAGGAAAGCAGGGCATCACCGGCAAGGGACGGAACGGGACGGAATTGATTGGATGACTACTGGCTTGAATGCATGGACGGCTTAAAGTTTGAAATATTGCCCAACCATGCATTTCAATATCCAACTCAGGCTTTTGAGGAAGTTCTGTTTTCCAGTTACTTCATGTATCTTCTGTTGATTTATGGTTAAAGAAGGGTCTTTTTCACTAATTCTAGGACTTGGACTATATTTGTTTAAGGCAATAAATACTAGAAGAACTGAGTCAGAAAATGAAAACTGTCACTACATATGATGATATATGATCAAAATGGATTTTCTATGTTCATGTTATAAACACACAAAAGGTTCCATATGATGATATGTTAGCCATTTCACAACTATTTTTCAAATCTCTCCAACTGTTAAGTTGGGAGAAACTTGGATTCCATATTTTTCACAAGCATTGCAACAAAGTAAGACAATTCCAAGGCAATTTATGCTTTGAGTTTGGGAGTGCTAATCCGGTCGTTGGAATTGAAATTGAAAAAAGAATTGAAATTGAAAAAAGAAAAACGTAGTTGGACGATTTGATGCTCTTAAACATAAGCATAACAAAGGTGGAATTTAGAACCCTTCTCATCCTAGATTTTTAAATAACAAAACAAGCTAGTTTTTTTTTACATCTTTAACTTTTGTAGTTCAAAATTTCTAATCTAATATAAAATAAAAAAATTTACACATCTTTTATATTAAATTAGCTAGTAGTTAATATAATGAAGGACATGGATTCTCTCCAGTGCTGGAGGAGTCCTGCACTGTATCCAGTGGTTGAGATTGAATTGATAAATGAGATCCACTATTGATCATACAATTTCAACCACTGGATATAATGCAGAACCCCTCAAGGATCTCTGTGCCGTAATGAAATCCTGAGTAATCCTACTAAAACAACAGATTGATTGGACCTAATAACAATGTAAGAGAAATTATTAATGCATTCGATTTAGTAATACCTCCACTCGTAAAAATATATTTTAAAAAAAAAAAAAAAAAAAATAGTGGAGGTTTTAAGTCTGCCCAAAAACATTGTAACAATTTTATTTCTAAAAAAAAACCTTCTCGTCGTAGATGATGAGAACCATGATTAATTCAGTTGTTGCTACTATAGGTTCCCATGAGACACACTGCATGTATTTACTGAAGCTTTGTGGAAGGCTCTGAAAGGACTTCCCATGTTAAAAGTCCTTCTAAAAATATAATAAAAGTTGTGGAATTTAAATCTATTCTCAAAATTCTAACCTCTAACCCATTGCCAGGCTAGGTTTCTGTTTGATATAGGCTACTATGCTGTTAGTAAATGGATTTGGAGTATAAAAAAAAACTACTTATTTGCAGTGGATATTTGAAAATTTCCGGAGATAATATATATATATTTTTTAACCTCAAATTTAAATTGTCCCATGGAGAAGTACTAATTTTTAAATTTTAATCTCAAATTTAATATTGGTCTCTCTCTCTCTCTCTCTCACATCATTGGAAAAAAAACCTAAATGAATATATATATCCACTTCTCGCGAACTGTAGTAAATATATCACAAATAAAAATATTATCCATCAAAATACTACTTTTTATAGTTATTTTTTTATTTTAAAAATAATTATCTTAAAAATATTTTAATCTTATTATTATTATTATGGAGGCTTCTAATAAAATTCACTGCACTAAAAATAAGAATGGGCCATGTCCCATAAAAAAGTGTATCAGTAATTACTCGTGCGAGGGGACACTTATTTCTGAGAGGAATAGTGGAACAATTTCTAGAAGCTGCTCAACATTTCTTGAAAATGGTATGCCCATACCAGAGCTTATATACGCTCCCATTTATATGTATCTTTGTACATCTAAAACAAGTTCCTTCTGGTGCCTTGCAATATTGTGTCTCTTCGTAATTTCTGTGTGAAGAAGAAAGAAGATGTCGTCGGCATACACATGGAAGAGCTTTTTCGAGAACGAAGATCGTCCCGAGAAGCCTAGAAGGTTCGGTGTCACTGAGATGAGAGGCCCCCATTACACCCTGTTTAGCCAAAACCTCATTCAGGTCTCTCTATATCTATATCTATATCTATATCTATATCTATTTCTATTTCTATATATAGCTTTTGCTTGATGTGTTGCTGAATTACTTGAAATGCCTTTCTTTTATTATTCATTTCTTTAGATTCCTTTATCAAGTTTAAGTTTTAGGGTTTTTATTTCTAGGTTTGAGATGGATTCGCCATTGTTAGTGGTCTCAATTGGTCTCAATTTTGCAATAATTCCAGCATAAGATGTTGTCACACGATTATTTGTTTGTGTGACTTAATTCGAAAATTGAGATATTGATTTTGTTTAATAATTGTGTCTTATATGAAACAAATTGACTAGCGGTGATCCAAATTGTTGGATGCACTTCATCTGCGTCATCTTTACTCTTTCAGGCTGCATGTTCATTTCTAGTGGAACTTAAAATTGCTCTGTGGTTGTGTTTTTCATGTGGCATTTGAAGGTGACATTGTTCATAAATATTCCAAACACTGAAGAAAATTGGAGATTTTGATTTACAACTGAAACTCTGGGTGAATGTTAGGCTCTTTTACAATTCAGTTCTTTTACCACCACTCTTCGGCTTCCTGCCATTTTCACTAATGGTTGGTCCAGTGGGGACGATTGGTTTCACACAGAAATGCAATCTCTAATGCACGAAGGATATATTCAATTTATCTGGAATATCCAAAATTGGCATTGTTGTTTGCCAGTATATGCTCAAAAATGTTATCATATTATTGTGCCCCTGTTTAATATTCAAATTTTGGTTTTTAATGCATTTTTTTTCTTTCTTTAGTTATTACAGTAGAATGCTGAATACCAGGATATCTTCTGCTTGTCAATTCGATTTATTAATTTTGAAGATTATTCCTAAAGTAATAAATTGTACTTTCTAATTGAAAGGATTTTACATAATATCTGAAGTACTTGAGTTGGATACAACATGGTTGGGCTGAATATGATATGTGCCAATCACATCTCTTTTTGGACTTGAAAGGTGTGCCTAGGAAAAGAACATGAAAGACATACAGAGTACATATTTTGCTAACTGGATACTCGCAACTGACTTTCTTAACATCTTCCTACACAAAGGAATTTTCCAAATGGGGCAAACATTCTTTGTTGGTGATAATATGTTATATAGACACTCCAGCTCACTCTAGAGTGTAGGAAAAGAAAACTTTGTTCATTCTGCCCTGTGTCTGTTTGTTAACATTCTGAAGGTTAAAACCATGTTGTAGTCTTGGGGTGAGTTGGATGAATTTTATTTTTTGATTCAGCTTGAAAACTATATTATATTGGATCATAAACTTTCAGGTATTGATTATTTTCTGTGACCTTTGCAGTTTCATTTTTTCCCTGGTTGTGGTCCTTGTATCTTATCTTAATGAATTATATAGATCCTCTTTACAGGTGTAGTCAGTGATCTTGGTTCCAAAATGACTAACTATGATAGGAAGTCTTCCTCTAAGCTTCTCCTCAATTAATGTTTTCTTTATGCATCCAATTGTTTTATCTTTTCTTGTTCAGCGGTCAACCGACTTTGTCCACTTTAAGGTCTCTTTTTAGCTCGGCTTATTTAATGTCCAATAATATTTTCCTTAAATCATGCATTACTTTGTATTAATCTTATAAAATCTGGCTTTAAACTTTATCAGGTATCCAGTGTGCAGATAAGTAGACATGATAACTATGTTGTAATAATAATGAGGCATGGACACATAACACACACACACACACACACATTGTGTGTGTTTGCGGATCCACCAGATTTCCTTCATGATGTAATGATGTATATTGATGAATTTGAGTAATACTTGATAGAGTGAGTGTATTTTCGGGAGAAGGGGATCCAGAAGTTCCAATCTTGTGCAGAAATTTTAGAATACGAATTTAGCTGATGAATGTGGTAGGACATGTGATCCAAGAATGTACAATCCAAATTAATCCTGCAGTTGGTAACACCTTTTACAAAGAGAGCATGAACTTGTAAGGTGGATAGACTTTTTTATTTTTTATTTCCATTAGTAGGAAGATCATTGAAGATATAAACTTGCAATATTATCTTTGGAGAGCTACTAAACTCAACAAAAGGCTTATCTCAACTGCTTGTGGTGAACTGCATGAATGTTGTTTCTCCATTCCGCTTTATCTAAGCTCATAATCTCAGTCAAACCACATATTATCATATTTTTTGTTAGACAAATATCTAAAATGAACAAAGCGCTATTAGATGTAAGAATGGAAAAAAAGAGAGTAAATGAAGTAATTAGTTTCTTGACAACTAGGTGGTGGAGTTTAAAAGAAGAAACCAACTCCATCACAACCACAAAAATGGTTCGTGGTTTTTGCAGGTCACCACCATTTTTTCCAGCGAAATGTTTTTCGTTGGGCAGGTCGAGATGGAGTAGCTTTATAAGGAGCACATCCGATTTTCCAGGTTTCAACAAATTTTGTTTATCCGCTATAGATTTTAGAAAGAATCTCGAGTTAAAAAAAATTGGAAAAATTTAAATGTATGAAGCTTAATATAACATGAATGAAATTGTTCTTTTTCCAATAGTTGTCTGGATTCCTGCTAGAAGGAATCTTTACACAAAGTTGTTTTGCTTCCTGAAAAGGTATACAGTGTGTACTAATAATTGCACAGACTGACGAGTTTTAAGGGCCCAAACTACAAAGCTATATTTTTTTCTTATGAGAAAAGAAAGGGGCATTCTCCAAAATATTTTCAGTTGATATAATCTTCATATCAATTGGATGCTTTTCTTTGGTTATCTGAATTATGTTATCTTTTAATTTTCTTTTCTTTTTCTTTGTCTTTTTCTTTTTCTTTTTCTTTCTTCTTCTTCTTTTTTTTTTTTTAATTTAATTTAATTTAATTTTTTTTTTTTGTGTTCTAAAATTTGGAACATTGTCTTTGTCTGCTAAATGGTTAGCCAATGCTCTTAAAATGACTGTTCAATTAAAACAGATTGCATATCAAGGAGATTCCTACTGTGTTCAACTTATCAAAAAAAAAAAAAAAAAGATTCCTACTGTGTTCTCCAAGTTCCTGTTGTACTCCATCCATAGTTGGAGCTTCTTGTTAATAAGTTATTTTAATTTGCTGCAAAATCATTGTTTGAAGTCATTCTCTGTTCAGATTACAAAGACCTTATTGCATTTGTACATGTTCAATAAGTAAATATAACCTGTCACATCTTAGAAAGTCCATGCATATCAAATTATTTATCTACCTAACGTTAATTATTATGGTTAATATTACGTTTGTTTCCATTTTTCTTTAGTTATTCGTGCAGTTAGCCAATATATCACTTGCTAAATGCTACACTGTTTCCTATCTGGTATAAGATAGTCACGTTATGTTTCACAAGCAAAGCTTACTATTACTGGGCTTAAGATATGGGTTTTAAAAAGATGGTTTATGAGAGCTAAATTTGCATTACATTCTTAAGACGGTTGAGAAAGGATACACAGTTGATTGGTTCTTCTAACTATACTAGTTATGTTTTACAGGATATTTTTGAGTCTATGGGACAGTTTGTTGATGGGTTGAAGTTTACCGGAGGCTCTCATAGTTTGATGCAGAAAGATTTTGTTAAAGACGTGACTAATATGGCCCACAAACACAATATATATGTCAGTACGGGTGACTGGGCTGAACATTTACTTCGCAAAGGTCCATCGGCTTTCAAAGAGTACATAGAGGTGTGACAAGATAAGTTATAATCTTTTCTTAGTGACTACTTGCGGAATCCCTTGGCACTGAATTGGTTTTTTTTCTTTTAAAATATCATTGCTCCAGGAATGTAAGCAATTGGGGTTTGATACAGTTGAGATTAACGTGGGATCACTTGGAGTTCCTGAAGAAACTCTCTTGAGATTTGTGCGGTTGATTAAGAGTGGTGGCCTGAAAGCCAAGCCCCAATTTGCAGTGAAGTTCAACAGGTCTGATATCCCCGCCAATGGTGACCGAGCATTTGGGGCTTATGTGGTCCCAGCACCTCGATCTTCTGGTATGCAACCAATTTCTTTTAATTATAGTATTCACAGTCGTAACTTGCTTGTATCTTTCAATTGACCTTGCTGAGACATAAATTAAAAATTTTTGTAATATTTTGTTTGCGGATGAAACTTGATTTCCAGTGTGTGGGAAAGTAGGAACCTAAACCTTTTTATGATTGGATTGATAACATTCTGAGATGGTGCCTAATCCTTATTTTAGGTCATGATGAGGTAGATATGCTCAGATGAGCTTGTCGTATTTTGTATTCATTTTTTATTGTTAGTAGAAGTATGCTGAAAAGATTTTTATAATTATAGGTGGAGTAAAAAAGGTGATTTAGGTACTTGGTGAACATGTTTCTGAAATGCCATGTGTGCTAGCTTAAACAGTAGCTGCAGTTAGAGTTTGCATCTCACCGATGAAATTGAATTTGTCTTGTGTCGTGATGGGATTACCTTTTGTGATTACCATATTCAGTGCATTTAACATTGTCGTTTTAAATGCTATGGAGTGATTGATTGATTGTTGCTCGGAGAGCTTCTAGAGCGCCGTGCATTAGACAAAACACATGTATAATGGGATGTAGAAGGTCCTTGTCTGGAAAACTCTGTGATATAATTAATCCTTTGTCTTGAACATGTCAATGTTCCATGTCATGTTCGTTTTTTTTTATCCTAAATATTTACAGTACATTTAAAATTGGTAGGGTGTAAACCTTGATCAATTTACAAAAAAAATATTGGGCAACCGATGCCACTTTACCAAGTTAGGGCATTGGAAATGGGGCTTATTAAACACTTGGGCCACCTAAATGTATGACTTAAAAGTGCTCAAGAAGTTATTAGATCTTTTGCAATTTTATGGAACAAAGTTGATATACTTTTGTGAGGATGTATGCTTTGAAATCTGGAGAAGGAAGATGACTTGACTGCTATAGATTGTTGAGAGAGAACTGAGAAGAGAGTTGCATTCAAGTCCACGTGGTTTCCTGTTCAGGGGAACAAAATACTTACAAGGAAAAAAAAAACGAAAAAAAAAAAGAGAGGGAAATACAAGAGTAAAGTAACAGACTACATCCATGCTTGTGTACCTGATGGTTGTTGCTTTTTGCCCTCAGAAATGGTTGAGGATGTTGATCTTTTGGTCAGAATGGCCGAGAGATGCTTGGAAGCTGGAGCCGACATGATAATGATTGATGCCGATGATGTCTGCAAGCAAGCTGATTCTGTACGGGCAGATATTATTGCAAAGATTGTTGGGCGTCTTGGACTAGAGAAGACGATGTTTGAAGCATCAAATTCCCAAACCTCTGAGTGGTTCATTACACAATATGGTCCCAGGGTAGTTTGCTCTTACCATTCAACCTTTTCTTTTGTTGGGGCATTTGGTTGTTATCCCCTCTGATGTTTGTAACATTTTTTTAATTATTGGCTTGGATTTCAGGTCAACCTTTTTGTGGATCACTCTCAGGTGATGGATCTGGAGTGCCTTCGGGGGTGCAACCTTGGTAAAAATCACACATCTGTTCTCGGTTCGTCCTATTTTCTGTTCTAAGCTGGCGCTGAGAACATATGTTCCATGGAACTGGTTATGCTTTTTAATTGCCCTGCGTTATGTTGTATGTTAAGATGTTAAGTTCATGTTAAAAAGATGTCCCGACAGTGTGTGAAAATATGGCTGTTTCGTACATTTCAGTGGAGATTTTGCTTGAATAACTGTGTTCATCCTTTTCTGTGTTGTTATGATACATTGTTATCTATTGCACGAGTGTAATCACTTTTCTTCAATTCGATAATCTTCAATCATCCATAGATTCCATAGGATGGTGGTTGTCACGAGGTCCGTGACAACAATAGGATTAATGTTCGGACCACTCATCATTAAGTCCATATTACAAGTAACATTGCCTCTTGGTCTGCACATCGAGTGGAGTTAGTTGGGCCAAGTAAGCCCAAAACCACCCAAATATGTATACGAATTAAATCAAGGCCCAGGCCAAGCCAAATAAAATTACGAGGTTATAAGTGCAGCTTGACCAATTTTAATTTACTTCGGGCCAGATAAAATTTCACACCCCCCTAAAAACTGATGGAGTAATGAAATACTGGCTTAGCAACTCGAGTCATTTTTGTTACTAAAATTTACATGCCTAGTTAAAGTATTTATATACTGATACCTCTATTTGACAAAAGGAGAGACAAAAATTCAATACACCAATTCTGTATCATCATAATTTTTGAGATGTAAATAAGAATATTCTTATTAAGTAAAATGATAATATCTATTTAAAGAGTGACACAAGAATCTCTAACAACATTTTCATCTTGATGGTGCATGACACCGGATTAAGGGGGTCGTATATAAGTTGTTTAACAATAATAGTCCAAGTGTCTAACCATTAACGGGCTCAAGTTGTGTTTGGATTGGCCCAGTGAATGTCTGACCCTCATCCAAAACTCATATCAGGATTAAACATGATCTAAGCCCTACCATAATAGATTGAGTTGGGTGGTTTCTGGGTGGAGCATGAAATAATTATGGTAAATGTGGGAACTATATATGCGTCGATTAGTGAGTTATGGGAGTTTTAAGGCAAAATATATATATATCTATATATAATAATAATAATAATAATAATAATAATAATGTACAATCAAAATAAATTCTCAGATTGTGTCAGATTGACTCGCATACTCTACTCTGATATGTCTAGATGAATCTTTTTAAAAAATATTCATGTCTTATTCTTTATCTATTTTATGATTAAGATTATATGCTAAAATTTAGTGAATAAAATTTCACATTAAGAATGATCTATTTCATGTCCTAGTTGGGACAAAGCCAACCCAGTCTCCAGTTATCACACTTAAAAATGTCTTGAAATTTTGGTGTATGAACTCTGGAAATAATCTGACTATGTAAGTGCTTAGAAGAATATACCTTGTGACATACCCAATACATTTTGAAGTCCCAAAGAAATACATAAATAAGAGGGGAAAAAAAATTATTTGCAGCACCAAACATGGAGAAAGCCTACCATGGACTAGACAAAGAAAATTTTATAGTAATATATTCATCATTTAATGTCAAAAGAGTCAAATGGATTGATTGGTCAATTAAAACTTTTTATTTTTGGGAAGGAATATATGGGTTTACCGATACCAATCTTGGTCCAATTTAAAATATGGGTCAATCGACAAGACCAAATGGCCTAAATCTCAAGACTGTAAAATTCTTTTCTTTCAATATAATTCCCACGTATTACAATTAAAACAATGAGATAGAACCAATTGAATGGGATGAGAGGAAATAAGAAAAAACTACATAATGACATGATTGAATTGATTTATACAATCGACTTATATATATATGGAATAATTGTCAAAAAAAAAAAAAATGGAATAATTATTTATGGTACTGTATAGAGTTGAGCAATCGCAAATCCAAGTCCATTGTTAATACAATAAGTATTTGACTGCGTTTGACCTTTTAAAGTCGGGCCCATCATGCATCCCATTGGACCAAACGTTCATGTCGAAAATCAACCACATGGTTACTCGGCCCATGAAGTTGTACACGTGCCCTTCATCGGTTCAAAACTCTCACGTACAATGAAAAGTGCGACAAGACTGCATCTAGGCTTGTTAATGGATCAGATTCGAATTGGATCGATCAAATTCATATCTAATTTGTTAAGCAAACGGATTATCGGATTTAGATCACTAACGAATTCTCAGACTGAATGTCCCAATCCATATCCTATTTAGCTTTGACTTGGATCGGATCGGATTCAAAATCGAATTAAAATAATATTTACTAACATATATAATTATAAAGAATATGATTTTATTAGTATGTGTACTAAGAGATTTATTAGCATATGAATGAGAACACCACAATATTTACATATAACATTATTATTATTATTATTATTTTGAAAAAAAAAGAAAAAGGATATGATCAGATTTTTAGTAGGAGTATTGATATATATATATATGTAAAATTATTGATAAATAATTATATATTTATATAATTATTTATATATATAATTTTAATCGGATCGGATCAGATTTTTATCGGATCAGATCAGCATAATCCATATCCGATTTATTAAGCTAACGGATTATCGAATTCGGATTGTAACCGGGTTATCAGATTTTTTGTTCAATCCATATCCGACTAATCGAATCGAATTTAGATCGGATCAAAATTCGCTCTATTGATAGGTCTAGCTGTATCCATCATGTTTCAACTACCCACCAAACCCTTTTACTACCAAATGCTGATTTATCCACCAAGTGTCCCAATAACTACCCATCCATTCACATGCAATTATTGGGTATCTATATTCTCCCAAAAAAAAAAAATTATTGGGTATCTATAACTCTCATTTTACCTTGCAAGATGTTCCCACCAAAACGCAACACATTTTTATGAATCGACTAATTCTGAAATATATAATGTTTTATGGCATTTTTGAGTCATGGTTGAGGAATATGAAAATTAAGGTGTTATTGAGCTAGCTACACGCTAGAGCTAGAGAGGTTTTTCATGACATTAGGATAATTAAGTTCTAGAGATTTTAAAATTTGTCCAGAAATTCTGAGGTGTAGGTAAAGTTGGAATATTCTAAAATATTAGAGAGATTATTAATGTTTGTAGAGTAAAATATATTTTAGAAGGGTAAAAAGAAGTAGGGCTTATAAATCCATATTTTAGAAAAGCAAATTTTACAGAGAGGTAGATATTTAAGTGAGAGAGTTCTAGAGGGAAGATCTCGACCATATATTGTACTGAGGATGTTCTATAAATAGCAATAGTGTCATTTTAAAAATTCCAACAGTGAAAGTGAACCAAATGGTGTGCTTTGCACTAGTAGATGCGAGGTCTCTATTCCGCCAAAAAAATGTAAGGAAAAAAAATCTCTCATTAACTCCCTTATAAAATATCATATACACCCTAATCATAATCGTGTTGCTGCTTATTCTTTATTGTCTCAAAAGCATTTTTGGAGTATTCACAGAAACTATAATTTCATCAAGTTAGTAAAGAAAGAGAAAATTTTTAATTTTATTTTTTGAATTTAGATACATTGAAAAAGAAATTTAATAAAAAATATAGTTTTCCGTTCTGGCTTATTCTTTTAACATTAATATAATATTTGTGTCCCTCAACCCCTAATTCAGAATTGAATATTAAAGGTAAAAACCCTCTATTAGCATTATAGTTATAGTCTTTGTTTTAAATCCAATGCACTTCACATAAATCCCTTGCTATTGGACTGCTTGTGTCAATAGAATTCTTACGTATTACAATAAAAAATAAGAAGAATTAAACAGGCCCAAATCCAACTCCTTCTTTAATTAATACGTAGTACAATATTTGACTGGTCTTTTGCCTTTTAAAGTCCAAAACAGAATATTTGGCCCATAATGCGAAGCCCATGTAATTGTTCAAAACTCTCACCTACAACGAAAAGTGTGACAGGACTGCATCCATCGTGTTTCAGCTACCAACCAAACCCTTTTACTATTAAATGCCTTAAAAATGCTGATTTGTCCATTCACCTGCAATTATTGGGCATCTATAAATCTCATCTTTAGCTTGCAATGATGGGTGATCGATTCATAATTTTTTTTAAAAGTTTGATATTGTTACATTTTTTTATAAACCCGACCAGTATAGTCAGTTTATATCGATATTTGTTCGAATTTGTTACACCGCTATTTAGGGATGGCAATTCATGTTTGCGGATCGTAATGATGTCGTGTCGATTTAAGGGTATTGTACTAAACAGCTCAACCCGAACACGACCTGTTTAATAATTGTATCAGGAACCCTCAACACTGACTTGACATATTTATTAAACGGATTATACGTCTAACCTATTTAATGATCTGTTTAATAAAATTAAATATTTTATTATTTAAATTATTAATAATACTCGATAAAACATTAAATATTAGAAAAATATAAGTATCAATTCAACCAAATTATTAAATAATCTCTAATATACAAAAGAATAAATTATAAGATACAAGTTTAGATAGTTATTTTAGAATTTAAATAAAAATTTGCTTATGACATATACAGTTAAATGTGTATAAACGAGTTACGCGAGTTGAACTCCTCAACCCAAACATGACACGATTAGCTAAACGGGTTAATCGTGTCAAACCGTTTACGACCCGAATCCGTTTAAGGTCAATACAAACCCGTTTAACTCGTGTCGTGTTCGAGTCGTATTGGAGGGTCGTGTCAAGCTTTGTCACCCCTACCGCCACTACAAACAATGATTGCAAGTGCCCTCATTTTATTTTTTCCCAACAAATTAATCCCACAATGCTTTTGGGAGACTCGAACTTTTTACTTCTTAAAGTTAAAAGTACAGAAAATACTATTCCACATATCTTAGTGGCGCTGAAAAATTTCATTTAATTATATTTAACTACTTCATTTGATCCTCTCCACACTCATAATATTAGGTGTCTGGCACTCAACTAGTTTTTTTTATTTATTTACTCTCTCCCTCCCAAATTACTTGTTTATCTTTTTTTATTTTGCAACGTTCCAAAATACACGTCTCATTCTTAAAGTAAACCAACAACTTTTTACAATATTCTTAAACTAGTCTTTTGACATTTATTTTATTAAACAAGTGCATTAATTTCGAAGTACTCTTTTTTCTTTTAAATAAGAGTGAATATTCAAATTTATTTTATTAAACAAGTGCACTAATTTACAAAATTTTAATAAAAAAAATTAAAAACTTAACATCATAAAAAATTAAATTCTCCAAAAACACTCGAGAATTTTGAGACCCTGGTGTATTTTTTTAATCCGTCTACTCGTTGGGCACTTATTGAACATTATCGGTATGAAATTAATTATTGAGTTTGTTGGGACAGGCTAGTGGTGGACCTGTTATGAAATTCTCCTCTATGTTGAATACAAACAACCTTAGACTTGAAGATTTAAGACTTTTTAGAGTTGTTGGGCGTGTGATTGTCCACGTGCTCACCTTCTTCTCCTAATACAATTAGATGAAACGTAATATCTATTTAAGAACGCATATACTTATGTGTAACAACACTTGAAGGGCATATTCATTAAAAATATTCTTTTTGGTGGTGTTTGGTTCGCGAGAAAGTTAGAGTGGTGGAATTTTTGTATTCATCATCGGAATGAAGACGGCGTGTGTGGTCGGAGGGAGTGGTTTCGTGGCTTCTTTGCTCGTCAAACTATTGCTTGAGAAAGGGTACGATGTCAACACAACTGTTAGGGACCCTGGTAATATACTTCTACTCTTCTTGTTCAAAAGCACTACTTTTCTTATGTTTACCTTTTTTTTTTGGTCAACCAAATATTATTCCTCCCTTGGAGATTAATTTCCATGTCTTGACATTTCTACCACTGTTCTTCTAATGACTCTGCATTTTCAATTTTGTCATATCTAGACTATCTAGTCAATAAGGTGGACATATAATATGTATGTATTTTTTTTTGAAATTATATATATATATATATATATATATATATATGTATTTGTTAGTATAATTCTTTATATATAATTACTTGTAATTATTGAATACATGTGACCCGAAAGAGTGTTGTGGAAATATGTTTCAATTATTTATTAAAAAATGATACTTGCACTGACTTGTTGCACTAAATTGTTAGAACTATTTATTTTAATTGGTCTATTTATGCAACAAATAAGGAAATAGAGTTCTCTACTTAATTATATTATACATAAATAATCGATCGAAAACTTTCAATTAAATAATTTATTACAATAAATTGGTTCAAGTATCACTGCTCTTATTTATTTAGTTTTGTTGGAAGAAACAAGTGAATGTTTTTTTTTTTTTAACAAGATGTAGAGGGAATGTGACTAGGTTATACGGCATTGATATGATGAATGTCACGTCATTATAAATTGTTCTAAAATTTAAAAGTAAATATTGCAATGTAAATTACTACAATACTTACAAACCTGTAAATCAAAAACTGACCACAAAATATACTCTATTGATAAAAGGAAAAAAATTGGTTTGCGAAAAGGAAAGGCGCATGTAAGCACTATGTTCTAGTCTCTAAAGTTGTGACATCCCTTGGTGATGAATCTTTAGGGAAAAAAAAAAAAAATGCCCGGATATGTGATTTAGTGGTATATTTTTTACTTTTAAAATAAAATATAGACAATTTAAATTTTTTAAAGTATTGTGAGAGTTTTTTCTCATTCAAATTTTTTTACAATCATTCAAACTTTATTTATTTATTGTTTGAACTTTCTTACATTTTCGGAGTGGTAAGGGTGTATAGTCGTCTAATTGTAACTAAAAGTCTTGGGCTTAAGCCATTGCTCTCATGGCCCATTTTATTGGACCCTGTACATTTTTGTACACATTTAAGCATACTCACAAATTACTTTTCTCGAAGAATGAGGGGAGAGGTTCGAGCCCAAACGTCAGTAAAAATGTGACCTAAGTGTGTTATTTATTAATAATATAAAGAAGAAGTAACTATCATATAATTTGTTGGGTTTTATTAAATTTGAATTGTGACCTAGCGTTGGAGAACTTTTGTACGTACCACTGGAACAATTGAATTGGTCATAGTAATTATGATTACACAGCTATGTTTTGAATGTGACATGGTATAAAGGAAGTAGAGTAATTAAATCCTACTGCCACTTTTGCATAAAGAAATATGAATGTGAATCATCTTTTTTTTTTTTTTTGGCAGAAAATCAGAAAAAGATTTTTCATCTTCTAGCACTAGAGAATTTGGGCAACTTAAAAATCTTCCGAGCAGACCTAACCGACGAATCAAGCTTTGATGCCCCTATAGCCGGTTGTGACCATGTCTTCCATGTCGCAACACCAGTCAACTTTGCTTCTCAAGATCCTGAGGTACATATGCAATTTCAGGATCATTGGTATAACAAATTAAGCAAATTAACTCGGATTTCTGATAAAACTTGGCTGTGTCTCTTGAACAAAATAGAATGACATGATCAAGCCAGCAATCCAAGGAGCAATCAATGTACTAAAAGCCTGTGCAAAATCCGGAACAGTTAAGCGTGTCATTTTAACATCATCAGCAGCTGCTGTAACAATCAATCAGCTTACCGGCACAGGCCTAGTCATGGACGAAGATAATTGGAGTGACACTGAGTTCTTGACATCAGTGAAGCCACCTACTTGGGTATCTCCCAAAACTCAACATTCATACATTCTTCTATTTAATTTTTAGATTTTAAATCTGTATTGTAATGTATGATCAAGGACCAAAACAGGTCTATATTGAACAAACTTACAAGAATACAACAAATTATGTGCAATAATTTGCAGGGCTATCCTGTCTCTAAAACATTAGCTGAGAAGGCAGCTTGGGAATTTGCTAAAGAAAACAACATTGATCTCATCACTGTCATCCCCACTCTCATGGCTGGTCCTTCTCTTACTCCAGACATCCCTAGCAGTGTCGGTCTAGCCATGTCCTTGATCACAGGTATGAAGCACGAACAACCTGAAATGCGCGGAAAATAAAACTAACATCACAAATGAAAGGGCTTTCATAAAAATTCTCCTAGATTCGAGAATGAACTTTTCATTCTGTACATGCTACATCCAATTTTGGATAAACTAATGGTGTATTTTTATATATTAATGCATTTTGATTCATGTTCTTGTAGGGAATGAGTTCCTCATAAATGGGATGAAAGGAATGCAGATGCTGTCCGGTTCAATCTCCATTTCTCATGTGGAGGATGTTTGTCGCGCCCATATATTTGTAGCCGAGAAAGAATCAGCTTCTGGTCGATACCTATGTTGTGGTGTTAATACCAGTGTTCCTGAGCTTGCAAAGTTCCTCAGCAAAAGATACTCCCAATATAATGTCCCTACTGAGTAAGCCAAAGCAATATTTCTTTTAAGCATCTAATAATCACCAAGTTTTGAGTCTTAAGTACACTGTTGAATCAGTGCGAAAACAACAGTTCAATGGTTTTATTTACTTGGATTAAATAAGGACTCATGGCATGCAAGTAAATGATTTTTTTTTTTAGTTAAAACAAATTCTGATATTAATAATTTACCATTGTATTGTGTGTTCTTTTTGACTGCGTACAGTTTTGGAGATTTCCCCTGTAAAGCCAAGCTGATCATCTCATCAGATAAGCTAATCAAAGAGGGATTCAATTTTAAGTATGGGATTGAAGAAATTTATGACCAAACCGTGGCGTACGTCAAAGATAAGGGACTATTGCCAAAGTGAAGATCTTCGTAGTTGTAAAATATTAATGTCTTATTTGAAGATGGATTATGATTTTCAAACCTAGTAATATGGATACTCTGTTTGAATTTTCGTTCTAAATAGTATTGTCCTTTAAAAATTAAGGATGTAGAATTGCTTGGTTGTATGCACCCTGATATATTTTGGCCACTTGATCAATGTATTTAGTATTTGTGAAAGGGATATGCTGTTATAAATCAAATAAGACTTGGTGGGACCTTAATCTAGTTTAATTTCCCTCCAATAAATTATAGTGCTATGAATCATGAAACTAATTTTGACCACACTAAGCATTGTTCAATTTATTTATTTTCTCCTAGCTAGAAAGAATTTTGGACAATAATAGGGACCTTTTGAATGAGTATTGTATGACATTACGCTGGTCTACCCATTGATTCACGAAAAATGTTACAACTTTACGAAATGAAAAATATCCAACATTTTAATCATCATGTCCACGAAGGAAAGCAAAGTGAAGAAATAACCTTTTATCAAAGATTTAATCCTGAAACAAGTAAACACTAGGACGTGAGTAATTATTTTTTAAGAAAGTTCCGTCGGATCACGTGTTTGTATCAAAACATTAGTTACACAAATTAAGACATTGTTTATGATGTAAAATTATTGCACAAGCAATATAAGGTAATTTTTGCATAAGAGTTGTAAAGTTATTAAAGAAATGACACAAAAGAAAATCTGAGTTCGTTAGATATAAAAGTGAATTGCGTTTAACTTGAAATTTTATTCAATCCGATTCCCACTTCTTGGTCACCCAAAATCAGTCCACGCAGCCCGATGCCTCACATCTATTGCATTTATGGATTTGGAAAGGCCTAGCCCATGTTTAAGCCCCAAAAAAAGTTTGGGTTAGAATCAGACATATACTGGCCCAATCCAAACTTTGTTTACATATCATGGTCCGAAACCACGAGTACTACGTCACAATTCAGCGTCATACTCAGAAATTTTTAGATGGTCAGGACCAATGGTCCCGCCAATACTATTGAAAAAAAATATTTACATATCATGGTCCCCAATCTTTCTCTATATAGCTTTTGCTGAGTTTCTTGAAATGCTTTTCTTTGATTATTCATTTCTTTAAATTCCGCTGTCCAGTTTAAGGTTTAGGGCTTTTTTAGTTAATAGGTTTTAGATAGGTTCAATGAAAAACAAAAAATTACAAAAAAAAAATCTTTTATCTTACATGTCAGGTTTATGTTCTAAATTAGATCAATTTATCTCTCTCCACCCTCTTCTAGTTTCTACTTGCACATTTGCAGTATTGGATAGTTTGCTTGGTGTAGGGGCGATCATTTAAACAGAAAAGGAAAAATGAAACTCTACTAGCTAAATTTCATTGCATTGCATATGCATACATAATTTAGCATTGGATATGCATTTGAGGGACAAGATCCATCAACTAAAATTCTCATTAGAATCTTTGTTTTAAATTGCATTTCAATATATCCAAGGAACATAAATCCTTGTTAGATTTTTCGTTCTAATTTCTCTACTTAAACTTGCAAGACTGCAAATTCTTTTCTTTCAATATAATTTCCATGTATTACAATTAAAAGAATGAGATAGAACCAATCGAATGGGATGAGAGGAAATAAGAAAAAAACGACATAATGATGCATTCAGTCAAGTGAACATGATTGAATTGATTTATACAGTCGACTTATATATATATATATATATATATATATATATATATGTGGAATAGTTGTGAAAAAAAATGGAATAATTATTTATGGTACTGTATAGAGTTGAGCAGTCCCAAATCCAAGTCCATAGTTAATACAATAGTCGACTGCCTTTTCCCTTTTAAAGTCCAACAAAGAATATTGGGCACCATCATGCATCCCAGTGGACCCAACGTTCATAACTAAAATCAACCACATGGCTACTCGGCCCATGAAGTTGTACACGTGCCCTTCATCGGTTCAAAACTATCACGTACAACGAACAGGGGGCTGCATCCATCGTGTTTCAGCTACCCACCAAACCTTTTTACTACTAAGTGCCTTCAAAATGCTGATTTGTCCAAGTGTCCCAATAACTACCCATCCATTCACCTGCAATTATTGGGCATCTATAAGTTTCATTTTACCTTGCAACACATCGTTATGAACCGATTAATTTTGAAATATGGCATTTTTGAGTCATGGTTGTGGAATGTGAAAATTAAGGTACTATTTGAGCTAGCTACACACGAGAGCTAGAGAGGTTTTTCATGACATTAGGATAATTGAGTTCTAGAAATTTTAAATTTTGTGCGAAAATTGTGAGGTGTAAATAAAGTTAGAATATTCTAAAATATTAGATAGATTACGAATGTTTGTACAATAAAATATATTTTAGAAAGGTCAAAAGAAATAGGGCTTAGAGATCCATATTTTAGAAAAGCAAATTTTGCAGAGAGGTAGATATTTAAGTGAGAGAGTTCGGGGAATATTTCAACCATGTATTCTAATGAGGATGGTCTATAAATAGCAATAGTTTCATTTTAAAAATTCCAAAGTGAACCAAATGGTGTCCTTTGACACTAGTAAGTGCAATGTCTCTCCTCCACAAAAAAACAAGAAAAAAAAATCCTCTCATTAACTCCCTATATAAAATCGTAAATGATATCATAAACACACTTATCATAAATGAGTATGTGTTTCTGCTTATTCATTATTATCTCAAAATCATTTTTGAAGTATTCACACAAATTGTAGTTTGATTAAGTTAAAAAAGAAAGAAAATTTTTAATTTTATTTTTTGAACTTAGACATAGAAAAAGTAACATAATCAACAAGTCTGTGACCTAGCGGTATAAGGCTCTTACTTCTCAAAAGGAGGTCAAGAGTTCGAACCTCAGTGGAGGCAGTGTGTGTGAGAGTCCCAACTAAAAAAAAAGAAAAAAAAGAAAAAGTAACATAATAAAAAATATAGTTTTCGGTTCTTGCTTATTCTTATTTATGTCCCTCAACTCCTAATTCAGAATTGAATATTAAAGGTGAAAAATCCCTCGATTAGCATTATCGTTATAGTCTTTGTTTTAAATCCAATTCATTTCAGAGACATAAATCCCTGCTAGTCTTTTTACTTAGAATTTTTGTTCTAAATAAGATTGTGCTAGTCTTTTTAGTTAGAATTTTTGTTCTAAATAAAATTGTCCTTTCCCTATTTAAATTATCTGTTTGCAGGCAAAACAAACCCTCCAAGACTGCTTGTGTCAATAGAATTCTTACGTGTTACGAAAAAAAAAAAAAAAAAAAATGGGGTGGTATTCATCATTGCGTCCACTTTTCAACATTTATATTACAATCTTAAATGAAATGACAACTTTAATCATAACTTTACAACTAAATAATCATTACTTTTTAAATTACACAACTGCCCCTTCATATTTTCTTATCTCTAATATTTAATATTTAAGTATTTTTTGACAACATAAATAAAATAAAATAAATTTTGAATAAATTTTTTTTAAGGGACCAAAAAAAAATAATAATAAAAAAAAAAATTGTTATGTTGAATAAATTGACTCTTTTGACCGGATCAAAAAAAATAAAAAAGTAACTATTTAAAAAAATTACCTCTTTTGACATGAAAAAAAACCCCAAGAATATATATTTTTTGAAGAAATTATCTCCGTTGTCAAGATCCCCCCCGCCCCCCCCAAAAAAAAGTACAAAAGGAAGATGATTGATTTTTTTTTTTTTTATCACTATTGAATAAATTATTTTTTTTGATAAGACAAAAAAAAAAAAAAGAAGGAGAAGAAAAGAAGATAGTTATTTTTATTGAATAAATTATTTCTTTTGACAGGACCCATAAAAAATTATCAAAAAATAAAGTTACCTCTTTTGACAAAATTGAAAAAAAGTTAATTTTGTTGAATAAATATCTTTTTCGATTTTTTTTTTTTTTTTTAAAGTGAATAAATTATCCATTTTGACTGCCAAAAATAATAAAATTATTAGTATGGAATAAATTATTTTTTTTGAGAGGATCTCTGGAAAAAACAAAAAGAAAGAAAAAAAAATAGTAAAGAAGGTAAAAAACAAAAAAAAATAAAAAATTAAAGTTGTATATAGGGTAGTTATAACATTATAAATTAAGGAATTGTGCATTAATGATTTCAAAGGCCTTCTTGTCATTTTTTTTAAAATAATAAATAAAGTGTAATTGAAAAAATGTGGAGTGCGAATATCGTCTCTCTAAAAAAAATAATAAGATATAACCAAATTGAATAGGATGAGAGAAAATAGATTGAATTGATTTATAGAGTGAGTAATTATTTATGTTCATGTATCTTCAAGATTTGAAGAATTAAACAGGCCCAAATCCAACTCCTTCTTTAATTAATACTTAGTGCAGTATTTGACTGGTTTTTTTGCCTTTTAAAGTCCAAAACAGAATATTGGGCCCATAATGGGCAGCCCATGTAGTTGTTCAAAACTCTCACTTACAACGAAAAGTGTGACAGGACTGCATCCATCACGTTTCAGCTACCCACCAAACCCTTTTACTACCAAATGCCTTAAAAATGTTGATTTGTCCATTCACCTGCAATTGTTGGGCATCCATAAATCTTATTTTACCTTGCAAGCATGGCTGAGACGCATTGATGGATTCAATTTTTTTTTTTTTTTTTAAAGGGTTTGATATCGTTACTTATCTTCATAAATCGATTAGTATAGTTAGTTTATATTGATATTCGTGCGACAAATTAATCTCACAATGCTTTTGAGAGACTCGAACCTTTTACTTTTTTAAGTTAAAAGTTGAGGAAATACTTGTCTTAGTGGTGTCGAAAGATTTTTATTGTTTCGTTCATTTAATTATATTTGACTACTCCATTTGACCCTCTCCAGACTAAAATAATAGAGGTCTAGCACTAAACTAGTTCTTTTATTTATTTACTCTCTACTTCTCAAAATACTTGTTCATCTTTGTATTTTGAAACGTTCCAAAATACATGTCACATTCATAAAATGAACGTACTGCTTTTTATAATATTTTTAAACTACTCTTTTGATTTAATAAATATATGTGTGTGTATATATATAGAGAGAGTAATATTATAAGAGAAATAAAAGCAAAGCTTTACACAGAGAGAGAGAGAGAAATATTTTCATTCAATTGTGTATCTCATCAGTACATGCACAATGCCTTTTTATAGGCTTCAAAATTGGCTTCCTTTGTACGCCACTATATGCTATCTTCCTTTGTAAGAAGCCTCAACAGATGATTTAATGGATAACACAATATATTTGAGGATCCCACACCAATATATATATATATATATATATATATATATATATATAAAACATTTGACATTTATTTTATTAAACAAATGCATTAATTCGAAATACTCTTTTCTATTTTACAATAAGAGTGAATATTCAAGTTTACTTTATTAAATAAATGCATTAATTTAAAATTTTATAATAAAAGAATATTAAAAACCTACCATCATAGTTAAATTCTCCAAAAACACTCACGAATTTTGAGATGGAGTATTTTTTTATCCGTCTACTCATTGGGTACTCATTGAACATTTGAATAAAAGTAATCATTGGGTTTGTTGGGACAGGCTAGTGGGGGACTGTTATGAAATTCTCCTGTTTGTATAAACAACCTTAGACTTAAAGATTTTAGACTTTAGAGTTGTTGGGCATGTGATTGTCCACGTGCTCACCTACTTCTCCGAATACAATTAGATGAAACGTAATATATATTTAAGAACGCATATACTTATGAGTAACACTTGAAAGACATATTCATTAAATATATATATCCTTTTTGGTGGTGTTTGGTTCGCGAGAAAGTTACAGTGGTGGAATTTTTGTATTCATCATCGGAATGAAGACGGCGTGTGTGGTCGGAGGGAATGGTTTCGTGGCTTCTTTTCTTGTCAAACTATTGCTTGAGAAGGGCTACGATGTCAACACAACTGTTAGGGACCCTGGTAATATACTACTCTTCTTGTTCAGATGCACTACTTTTCTTGTGTTAACCTTTTTTTTTTGATCAACAAAATGTTATTCCTTCCTTGGAGATTGTAGATATCTGTTTCTCGAGGGTGGTTGAATAGTCAAAAGACCTGGGAAAATATCACTAAACAATGTGAGGAATGCAGAAGAATAGGGGTGGACAAAAAATTCGCGAATCCGCAAACTCGATCTAATCCGATCCGTGCAGATTGGATCGGATTACCAGACTCACGGATCGGTGACGGATTCAAAAAAATTGAATCCGTAGTTCACGAATCGGATCACGGATTAGGTTATCAAAAATCCGATCCGATCTGTGACCAATCCGTAAAATATATATATATATATATATATATAGTAATAATATAGCTTACTTTTTTTATTTTCTTGTTTTGGTAAGTATTAACTGTATTATACATATTACACAGCACTGACTTTTCAGTTTTCAGTTCATAAAAGATAAAACCTAAACTTAGCTAAAGAATCCATCTAACACTCTCACTATTGATCTGTTGCGGCCGTCACACACTCTCACTACTCTTCTTCAGTTCAGTTTTTCTGATCTGTTGCCGTCTCCTTCACCAAATCAAAACCTAACCATCGATCCTCTCTTTTTCTGATTGCTGCCGTCTCCTTCTCTCCTTCTGATCTGCTGTAAAATCTTCTGTTTGATTTAATCTTTTTCTAGTACGGAAGTAGAGTTTGTTTGCAGAAATTTTACTGCTATTTCAGTATTTTGGTACTTTTGTTTTTAGTAGATTAGATTTTTGTTTGAGGTCGATTAAGTCGTTTTGGATGATATATTTTTGAATCTTGTGTTATGATGATCTATCTATTGGTTTTGCTCAATTGTCATATATATATATATATATATATATATATATATATATATATTATCAAGTATCCTGTATCTCACAATCTTTTTTAATTTTTTAATTATTGCACTTAGTTAATTTGGAAAATCGAGTCCGCGGATTGGATCCGATCCGTCATTTCACGGATCCGATCCATGGACTAACGGATTAGTGGCGGATTCAAAATCTCCTAATCCATTGCGAGTAGATCGGATTAGGATTGATGCCTAATCCGATCTGATTCGATCCGTGGCCAACCATACAGAAGAGTGGAAGAAGGGAGAGAAAACCAGTCTAGTAAGAGAATTGGAGCAATGGTAGGAAGATGTTGCCATCAGTTCCTAAGCCTTCTGCCCTTTGTCACTGCCTTTTTTATAGCTTTAGGTCACTCGGGTGATATTTGTTGGGTCTCCAGATCGAAAATGGGTCAGGGCCCATTGGAAGCATGGTGCAATTTAGTGATCTCTTAAGCTTTCTAGAAGATTCATGAGGTGAGCGTTAGGTCAATGACTCCCAAATCGGACGGCTTTAGGGTATTAGGTGTAGAGACACCCCTAAGGACTTACAAGTTCAAATCAATTAGGCTACAAATCAAAACGATTTCCATCTAATCATTTTCTACTCTTCACCTTTGGTAAGAAGTCCTCACTTTTTATTTTTATTTTTTATTTAACCTAGAGTTTGGGCCCTCCACCTTTCGGCGCAAGAAATTCAATGCTTGATGAGGCTAGAATCCCGGTTACTTAGTGAAAAGGGTTTGTTATCCACCTTTATCAAGAATGAAAACTTTTAAAGCATTACTAGCTCAATTGGGATATAACTAAATCAATAATCAACAAAACATGTACCCCACAAATGAATGCTAGTGTGCGCCTGTCCTAGTTTAGAATCCTAGAGTGAATCTCAAAACAATCACAAGATCAAGACAATGTGGACCACAAAAGTAAGCATAATATCAATCTTTCGAAAAATTTACTCCTAAATGGTATCCACAAGGCATACAAGGAGTATTAAACTCTTAAGTCAAGTAATTTTTTAATTCTAAGTATCATGGCCTTCAAAAGATCAACGTCATAGCTAAAACTCTCAAATCATACCACATGCATAGAAAATTAGTATGACATGCCAATATATGCTAGCACACCCCCAAACTTAATCAGTGCATTGTCCTCAATGTCCAAACATGGCAATAAATAATGGAAAGAGTATACCAAATGGGTGTAGCAAATATGACCCGAAAACGGAAGCTTAGCATTGGAAGGCGCACCACCAAACTTAGATTCCAAAAACCTGTCTGAAAATGTCACACTAGCAATTGTCAAAGCATATGCATCGATAATCTAAATAAGAGGTGAAATGGAGAACTGGGCATAAATCCATGGCATATAGCAATATAAAGCTCAGATTATCCAAAACCAAAATCAAGAATGGCAAAATCTCAAAAATCCATGTATGCAAATAAATCCAAAATCAATATCTAAAAACCATGTGTATCAAATGTAGTGCAAAATAATATCCAAAAATATCAATGTAAATATCTTAAAATAGTGCAAAAATATCCCAGAAATAGCAGTGTAGCAAAAGTGTATCAGGGCAAGGAATAAGTAATAGAGATAGAGAGAATGCTGAAATCAAGGAGAAGCATCCGACACAAGCATATCTGTAATGACTTAGAGCATATCTGACATCTCTCGGCATGTCGAGTAAAAGATGTCTGAATGTCTGTCCGCAAATCAGAAATGTCTCTCCTCACATTAGCTACAACCCTCACCAGATTGTCAAATTGCCTGACTAAGTCATCATGCCGCTTCGCCAAATTATCATGCCGCACTGTCATGTTAGCTTTGAAAGAAGTAAAATCTGAATGTAGCTGAGTCATGTCAGCTCTGCAGCTGGAATCTCAACTGGCATGATGGGAGGAATGTCGCTTGGGGCATCGGCTCTGTAGAAGGGACATGTGAGGGGCCGGCCTGCTGAGATGGATGGGGAGGAAGAGGTGGACCCGGCTGCGACGTAGATGTGGAAGCAGTAGTATGATGCTTCTGTCTGGGTTGGAAGGAAGAAGGTAATCCCTGAGATCCCTCGTCTGCCTCCTCCTCTGCTCTCTGCTGAGTTCCCTGCCTCTTATGCTCTCTATTATTTCTGTTCTTTAAGCAAACATTACAAGTCTTGGTCTATTGCCTCTTGTCATACACCCTTTTCTCTTTCTGCTCTGTAGACTCTGCAATCTCAGCTGGGTCAAAGGAATAACCCTGGTCAATCAATATCTGTGTGATAAGATGGCCAAATGGTAAAGGCCAAGTATCAGCTCTGGAATTGTGCTTGAAGATCATATTGTCCCAGTACTTGTGACTAATCTCCCAGATGAGAGCATGAATAGATATTTAGCAGCCCTGGCTCAAATAGTAGAGAACCTTTAGCATCCCCTCTTGCCTCTGTATACCATGGCCTGAAGGGAAGGCATTGAGATGCAACACAGAATCTAAGAACCAGTAGCGGGGATCAATATCAACTTGGTCTGTAAATATATTGCCCTCGTAGACAGCTTGTGGAGAGAGTGTAGCAACCATGGTCATCTCAGCAGGGTAAGTTGTAATGATCAGATACTGTTGATCCTCAGAGTCAGTGACCACTAGTGAGAGATGGGGGCATCTACAGGCGGCAGCAATGGCAGGGACGAATATATCAATATCCTGACCATTTATAGTCGTGTGCATCAGCTCTCGGTTATTTTCATCCAACCGGAGGTGCTGGAAGAACAAAGCAACCAACTGGGGATAAACAGTAGTGTTTGCCGGGGTCATGATAGTATCTATGCCCCTACGGGTGAGCTCTGCAAATGACTACGCTGTTTGCTCTAACCCCAAAAAATAGCTCTCTGTCAAATCTGAATTCCAACTCTAATTTCCTGTCGGAGAAAAAGATAGTAGGCACTGCTCTGACAATGGGACCCTGTGCCTCCATGAAAGATGGCTCTGATAACGAAGATGACTCCTCTGTTGGAGATGGAGTAGGTTGTGTAGCTTTGGTTACTCTCTTTTTAGCTAGAGTCTTTTGCCTATGCTGCATCTGTAAAAACAACAAATATAAATCAGTGCACAGGTACAAAATGAGGTAAGTATCTAATAAGAAAACACAAAACATGCCTGAATCAAGTAGAAACAGAAAAGAGACATGTAAGAACATACTTGTGCAAGATGTGATCAAGATAGTTTCAAGAATATCATTTAATATACTTCAACAAGACAATAATAGATCATGGCACAACAAGCAGTCTCAGATACGCAAAATAATGCAATGATAACATAGAGGGCAGAAAAGTCACTTTTGGAAGCATCAAGCAAAAATGAGATCAAAATGACAAGTATAGGATGTGATGTGCATAAAGGATGCAACGTGCGTTCATAAACCTAAAACTCAAGAAGATTCTGTAATTTCATGGCAAGTAGACCCTAGGATGACATCATACCAATTCCTAAGCAAGAATGTCTATAAATTCAACATTTAAGACCAATGGAACTAGCATGATGACATGGAGAATGTAATCATGGCAACTGTCTACCTAGAACTCAAGAAGCATGTATATCATGAAATAAAGACTAACTGGGTTGCACGGTTGCAAAACACTTCAATCCTAGGCATGTTATGATACACAAGTTCAAAAATGAATCATGGACATGGTATGCAACTAGATGGCATGTATATGAATGATGCACAAATAACAAAGTCAAATTCCAGTCACAGAAATATCCCGTACTCCATATCAACAAAATCAACATCCTATGATCACTCATGACTCGTGACCCCCTCTAAGCAATATATAAGTAGAAAATTGATTGCTTATGGCTCGCGACCCCCTTTAAAGCTTAAATAAAGTAAAGAATGGTCAAAGACTGAGAATAACAAAAAACTTACCCTTTTCTAAATCAAAATCATGACCGGTAAAGAACCTCGGTCTCAAGCCCTTACTAGCTTCCAAAAATAGATCACAAGTGTATAGAATCAAGCAAATGGCATTTTAAAGATCGACTTTGCAAGATAAGACAACATACCCCCAAACTTACTTCAAATAACAGTTTAAAACTCAAGTTATGCTCACAAATAGGTACTAAGGCCAAAGAATAACAATGATATCCCAAACATGAATTTTTTTGAACTCTAAACATTCATTTCCCTCCTCAAAACTTATTCAAAGATCAATGCCATAAAGATCTATTCAAAAGATGCACACAAACATTTTAAAAACCATCAATGTGACAAAAGTGTGCAAAATGTGTATATACAAGCAACGAGTTGCAAATTATTCCAAAATACACACAATTATTCATTTGACAATTTTTCAAGCTTATTAAACAATATTGGAACATTTGACTTCAAAACGTTTGGTTTAGAAGGTCAATTCAATACATTTTTCAAGAAAGTTCAAAATTCATGACAAATGGAGTCAAAAGATATCAAACCTATGCCCTAGCATGGCAAGAATCAAGAATGGAGCACAAACAAGTTCAATAGCACTTAGCACATGCATTTGGATGGAGAGAAAACAAATAGAACAAGTTTCAACTCATTTAAGGGCATTTTGGTCAACTTTGGAAATTTTCAACACTTTTGGGGCAAATTTGGAATTTTTAAAAACTTTGAGGTCAAACATTCAAATGCATTATAGATAAACATCATAACAAGAATCATGCATTGAATATTCAACAAAGAAAGGAATTAAACAACTCGACTTCGCATTTTCAAAACAAAGTTCAAAAACTCATTTTTATTTTTTTGAAACCAACAAGTGTGATCACAAAGGCATTTTAAGCATTCAAAAATTATTTTGCCAAAACAAAGCATCTTAACCATGAGCAATCAACAATTTAAGATCAAACTTGCAAAGAGATTCCATTTGAAACATATTTATTCATTTTATCATGACTTTGCATTTTCAAGTTTCAGAAGCACAAGTTTCAACTCAAGTCATGCTTTTATGCATTTAAAACAACTTAGAAACAAACAAAATCCATGCATTTCATACTCAATACGAACAAATGAAACAAGTTGAGAATCATGCTCATCAATATTCAATTTCATATGCCATTGCAATTCAAAATTTCCAAGAAAATTTTCAAGTCCAAAAAGTTTACAATTTTAATTCAATTCTTTCAAAATCAAAACAATTTTGACAATCATGCCTTTATTTCAAATTATTAAGCAAACATTCCAATTCATACTTCAAAATTCAATGGCAACTAACTTTAAATTCCATTCACAAATTGAAATCTCAAAACAACTTCCCAAAAATTATATTTTTCTTCTTCAATTCAATTCAACATTTGAATTTTAAATTCCTTTCCCAATTCACATTTCAATTCTAGTGACAAAAATAAACCAAGTGCTATTAAAGAATTTAAAACCAAAATCTAAATCTATTTTTGCAAAATTTTGGCATTAATTCCCTTTAAAATATGCATTCCACAAAAAAAAAAAAAAAAAAAAAAAATCAACAAAGGCAACATATAATGCATATATACATCAAAATCAATATCCATATATTGCCCCAATCCTCCATTCACATGAAATCACAAAGGCACATTTTTAAGCCCATTCTCCATTTAATTCAACAACAAACCATACCCATACTCCATTTACAGATGTCCATCCTTCATGAAACAAACAACCTAACATCAAAAAGCCAAGTTTTCAGTCCTTTCACCTCTTACCTCTTTAATAACAAACCATCATAGTGTAAGTATTATCACAGTCCCATGGTTTCAGTCCAATGTGGTCCAATTTTTTTTTTTTTTTTTTTTTTGATTTCCATTTTCTTTTATTTTTCAATTGTTGTTTTCATGATTGAATATAAAAATATATACAAACATATATTCAAAAAGAGAATAAAACTAAAATTGCAAAATGCAAAAACAAAAGAAAAATTAAAAAAAAAAAATGAATTTCTACATACCCGACTCAAGAATGAGAAGAGGAGAGAGAGAGAGATTTGGGATGAACTCAAGATTTTCGGCCTAACTATGGCCGGAAGTGACTACCGTAGTCTCGCTGGACTCTGCAGAAACTCGCCGGAGGTTGAGATGGGATTTCCTTGGCCTAAATCGACCGGAGATCAAGAGATTTAGAGAGAAATCCGAGAGGTTGGAGAGAGAACGAGCTTGGCCGAAGGCCAAAAGCTCCTCGCCAGTTTCAATGGAGAACGGCGATGGCTTGGGTTCACCGGAAATGAGAGGGATGAAGGGAGGTTGATGGATGGTGAATGGCGTCTTGGCGGTTACCAGACTGAGAGAGGGAGATTATGATTGAGGGTTTGAGATTCGGGGAGAGAGAGGAGAGAGAGGAAGGCCGAGAGTTAGAGAGAGAATGAGGGAGGAAGAAAGAAAAAAAAAAAAAGGAAGAGAAAGAAAATAAAAAAAAAATAGGGTTCGGAAACCCAATGGCTTTTTCTCGGAATTTGAAAAGACGTAATCTCGATCGAGCAAAGAAGTCTTCGATCGAACGAACACTTACTTCGATCTCTCGAAAGAGTAATTTTGGAAGAATTATGCAAAAGTTTGATCGATTAGAAAATTTCTCAATCGATCGAAACAGCTTCAATCGATAGAATGGAAGATGAAAAGCTTGATTTTAAGAGCTTCGATCGGTTGAAAAGATGAGATCTCGAGAGCAAATTTCAAGGCAAAATGGGCTTCTACAGAATTTGATCGATTGAAGAGGGGTCTTTGATCGATCGAAGATGACACTGAAAGTGCAGGAAATGCTTAAAACTGCCCGGAAACCTGAATGATCAACTCAAAACATATCTAGACGATGCAGGAAAGAAGAAAAGAAGAAATGAGGGAGCAATAGGGTTGGAAAACCCTACGAAGTACTAGTGTTTAACGTTTCTAGCAAGACGTTGGGCTCTTTTAGTTCGGATCAAAAATTTTGTTGGACATCCCCTTCTCAACGGGGTGAATTGAACTTTGAATCCCACCCAACAAATCATTCCCTAAAGAAATTGTTGGATTTGATTCAAGTACGCTTGACGGCTTTTGGTCAAAGAAACTTTTAGTCTTCCATGCCCTTTCAACATTGGAATTCACGACAACATCTTTTGAAAATTGGTTCAAAGGCAAAAAATTTGATTTTTCAACGCGAGGAAATAACTCATTTTTGTCAATTTTGCTTTCAAAACTTTTTTCGACAACAAAAATCTCTTCATGCTTGTCCATTGATTTAGGGGTTGGATTGAATATATTCAATTTCACCTTCATGTGGCCAAAAGAAATCTTCATTATCCCCGTCCTACAATTAATGTTTACATTGGCGGTAGCTAAGAAAGAACGACCAAGGATACTGGGAATTTGGCTATTTGGATTTGCAACCGGTTTTGTGTCAATGACTACGAAATCAACTGGGAAAAATAATTTATCAATCTTTATCAAAACATCCTCAATTATACCCTGGAGCTTTTTGATAGATCGGTCGGCTAGTTGCAAAACTACCGATGTTGGGTTTAGATTGCCCAAGCCTAATTGGACATATACCGAATAGGGAAGAAGATTTATGCTTGCCCCTAAATCCAAAAGAGCCCGATTAATGACATGGTCACCTATGGTGCAAGATGGAGTGGGTGAACGGGGTCTTTGTTTTGGGAAGAGTGTTGTATTGCAAAATAGAGCTAACTTGTTTGGTAATGACAACTTTCCTTAGTACTTGGATCTTGTTCTTTCTCTTTAGAGTGCAAAAATCTTTTAAAAACTTAGCATAAGCCGGAATTTGTCTAATTGCATTTACGAGAGGAAGATTGATTTTAGCTTACTGAAACACATCAATGATTTCATTCACTTTACCTTGTTACTTTTCAAAAGATGTGGATGGTTTCAAAGCATCCAGAAATGGAGCTTTTAGCTCAAAAGATTTTTCAAACACATTTTGTGATAAACTCTCAACAATGGGGTCCTTTGCACTAGATGAAGGAGGAATAGGATGGGAAATGGGACGGGTGTCAACACTAGGTTGCACCGGTTCACTCTCTTAATTAAAAATATCAACTTGATTATCAATCACCCTTCTACTTCTCAAAGTGGTCACTGCATTGACTTGTTCAAGTGAAGGACCTTCCAAAGGGAAAGTGGTTTCCACTACAAATTTGTTCCTTTGGTGCGGGATTAAGAGGCATTTTTCATTTTTCTTTCATATTCAACGTGCTAGCTATTTGCCTTACTTGGGTTTTTAGCTTGGCAATTGATTGTGAGTAAGAGTGAAGTAATTAAGTGTTCATCTTTAAAGTACCTAAAGCGGATAAAACTTTTTCCTCAAAAGCGAGATTTCTAGGATGACTTTGAGAATAAGATGGTTGATTGGGAAAATGAGAATTTGAAAATTGACTTACATTGGAAGTTTGATAGGATGGACGATAGCCTTGAGAATTTTGGCTTTGCAAATAGGGTGGAACATATTTTCCTTGAAAATCACCTTGGGGAGGATTTGAACCTTCCCCTTGACTTTTCCCAGAGAAGTTGGGATAATTTCTCCACCCGGGATAGTTATGATTGTTATAGAGATTATTCTCTTGATTCATAAATGTGGCATTGACTTGTTCATGATGCTCATTATGCACATGTCCATGGGGATAATTGGAAGTAGTATGTAACACACTTGAACATGTCATGCATGACTCACTTGAATGATGATGAAGAGGGGAAGAAGACGTATGATGTACTGAATTTTGATTGATAAAAAATTGATTAAACCTTTTGGTTAGAGTTTTTACCTCAGGAACTATGTCACTTGAATTCTCAACTTAATATAAGCTTGAATTCTTTCTCCCTCCAACAGAATTTCTACCATTACTAGAGGACAATGAATGATGCATTGAGTTTTCATACATGCTTTCATATAAACGCCACATATCATCCTCATGCTTATCTAAATAAGATCCACCCATTGAGGCATCAACCATGCCTTTATGGGTATTCGAAAAACTTTCATAAAAATGTTGAACAACTTGCATTTAGGAATATCATGATGAGGAAACTTCCCAAGCAAATCATTCAGCCGTTCCTATGCCTCAGGTAACATTTGCCCATCCCCTTGTGAAAACTCACGAATTGAAGTTCGCATGGTATTGGTTTTGGAAACGGGATAATACTTTCTCAAAAACTCTTGTTGCATTTTCGCCTAAGAAGTTATAGAAAGAGGTCTTAAATTGTTAAACTAATAATTTGCCTTATCTTTTAGGGTAAAGGGAAAATTTTTCTACCTTAAAACTTCTTCCGGTATGTCCGTATGTTTTACGGTGGAACAAATTTCAAAAAACTCATCCCAATGCTTGCATGGTTTTTCATTGGTCAACCCAAAATAATTTGAGAGCATTTGAATAGTTTGTGGCTTAATTTCATAATGATGTGCTCTAAATTGAAGAAGACGAATGCATGCGGGTGTATTATACTCATTAGGCACATAGTGATCTTTTAAAGCCATGGGAGGATTTGCAATTGATGGCTCTATATGAGCTCCATTGTTAGCTTGGACAATAGGTGGTGGAGGTGACACAAAGAATGGCCTTGGCATTCCAATTGGAATTTGGCCTTGTGGTTGAGGAGCAAAAGGTCTAGGCATGCCTAAAGGAACGTGCATGTTATCATGTTCATACACATTAAGATGAAGTATGCCTTATTGGTCTACATGACCAAGGTCTTCAATATGATCATCCATTGATGCAATGGATTCACTTGAATTGCCCCTACCCCTTGGATTGCGCACAATTGACTCAAGATTAAGATTCAATGGAACAAGATGAGGATTTAAAGACTTACGACTATGCATGCACAACACAAATCAACATGAACAACAAATAGCAAATACTTCTCCTCCACAACACAAATCAATCAACAACAAGCCTCCACATATATTGATCATATACTCCCATGCTTTTCAATAATGCAAAAAATTAAATTGCCTCCACACGGGCCGATGATATACAAACAATGAAGTAAAATTGCCTCCACACAGGCCGATGATTTAAACTAAGCAAGAGGAGTTAAAAACGCTCACAAAGGTCCTTAAGCAACTTCAAGAAATTTTTAAGCTTTTTGCATTGCTTTTGCAATTCAATTTTTATTTTTATTTTTGTTTTTTATGCTTTGTTTGCTTTGAGGTTCATTTTGCTTTGCTTTCCTTGCTCTAAGTACCTAGTCAATTAAGATTAAACAAGGTGGGAAAACAAAATAAAATAAAATAAAACAAGGATTAAAAGAGTACTAATTCCTATTCAATTCTTAATACGGCGTTGCTAATCCCCAGCAATGGCACCAAAAACTTGGTGTGGACTCGACCGTAGCCTCAAAATGATGTTAAAAGTGTGAGTGTGAGAAGTGGCCACTGATGTGTCTCTAATTTTACCACTCGTAATAGAACGATTCCGTGTAGAATAGTGCTATAGAAAGAGATGTCGAACCCACAGGGAGAAGAGATTTATATTTAGCCTTTAATTTAGTCTTATTGATTTATAG